GTGTGTTTTTTTATTTTTATTAGTACCAGAACTTCCAGAAATGAAGAATGAAGGATAATAGGACTTTGGGACATTGGGACAATGTCCCAGCATGTTCCAGGATGTCCAAGTTGTGCCTTTTCTAGCAGATGGCCATGTGCCAATGTGGGCACTGAGGTGGGGAGGCTGGGAGGCCTGAAATAACACAAAAGGACCAGATTGGCAAAAACTGAAAATTAGAAGAAAAAAAAAGAAAAATGTGAAAAGAATGAAAGGTTAAGTTTGCATTTTTTCTTTTCTCGCAGATGCTCTCTCTTGGAGCTAACACAACACAGAAGGGCCAAAAATTGGCAGAAAAGATTGGGAACACTGGTGCAGCGGCGGCAACCATGCACTCAAGGCGCATCACTGTAGGAGCATGTTAGGGCTTCCCTGAGGAGTGGAGCTTCTCCACCATGGCCATGGTTCTTGGCTTTTATGGTACCAGCATGTTAGGGTTTGCCTGAGGTGCACCGTGTAAGGCATATTTCGTGTATATCACGACATGCTGGACACGAAAGCAAGACGCACACAAGTGGGCCTCCAGTCTCCTTCCTGTATTTATGTTTAAGGAGGAATCAACTAAGGGTAGCGTTGCCGAAAAAAGCACTTGCACTTGTATGGTACCAGCATGTTAGGGCTTCCCTGAGAAGTGGAGCTTCTCCACCATGGCTGAGCTTTTCGTGCTTGTAAAGACGCAAAGAAGTGGGAGTCCGGTCTCCTTCCTGTATTTATATTTGAAGGAGTAAATCAACCAAGGGTGGCGTTGCCGAAATGCACGTGGAAAAGCACTTGCACTTGTACGGTACCAGCATGTTAGGGCTTCCTTGAGGAGTGGAGCTTCTCCACCGTGGCGAAGTTCCTTGCGCTTGTACGGTACCAGTATGTTAGGGTTTCCCTGAGGAGTGGAGCTTCTGCACCATGGCCAAGCTTCTTGCGCTGGTACCACCAGCATGTTAGGGCTTCCGTGAGGAGTGGAGCTTCTCCACCATGGCCAAGGTTCTTGGCTTTTATGGTACCAGCATGTTATGGTTTGCCTGAGGTGCACCGTGTAAGGCATATTTCGTCTATATCACGACATGCTGGACACGAAAGCAAGACGCAACAAGTAGGCGTCCGGTCTCCTTCCTGTATTTATGTTTAAGGAGGAAATCAACTAAGGGTAGCGTTGCCGAACAAAGCACTTGCACTTGTATGGTACCAGCATGTTAGGGCTTCCCTGAGAAGTGGAACTTCTCCACATGGCTGAGCTTCTCGTGCTTGTAAAGACGCAAAGAAGTGGGAGTCCGGTCTCCTTCCTGTATTTATATTTAAGGAGTAAATCAACCAAGGGTGGCGTTGCCGAAATGCACGTGGAAAAGCACTTGCACTTGTACGGTACCAGCATGTTAGGGCTTTCCTGAGGAGTGGAGCTTCTCCACCATGGCCAAGTTTCTTGTGCTTGTACGATACCAGTATGTTAGGGTTTCCCTGAGGAGTGGAGCTTCTGCACCATGGCCAAGCTTCTTGCGCTGGTACCGGCATGTTAGGGCCTCCCTGAGGAGTGGAGCTTGTCCACCATGGCCAAGCTTCTTGCACTTGTACGTTACCAACATGTTAGGGGTTCCTTGAGGAGTGGAGCTTCTCGACCATAGCCAAGCTTCTTGTGCTTGTACGGTACCACCATGTTAGGGTTTCCTTGAGGAGTGGAGCTTCTGCACCATGGCCAAGCTTCTTGCTCTGGTACCAGCATGTTAGGGCTTCCCTGAGGAGTGGAGCTTCTCCACCATGGCCAAGCTTCTTGCACTTGTACGGTACCAGCATGTTAGGGTTTCCTTGAGGGGTGGAGCTTCTCCACCATGGCCAAGTTTCTTGCGCTTGTACGGTACCCGCATGTTAGGGTTTCCCTGAGGAGTGGAGCTTCTGCACCATGGCCAAGCTTCTTGGGCTGGTACCAGCATGTTAGGGTTTCCCTGAGGAGTGGAGCTTCTCCACCATGGCCAAGCTTCTTGCACTTGTACGATACCAGCATGTTAGGGTTTCCTTGAGGAGTGGAGCTTCTCCACCATGGCAAAGCTTCTTGCGCTTGTACCGGTATCGGGTGGTAGGTTAGTAGGGGTACTCAACATAGATTCCAATAGTAACCTGGGAGCAAGGAGAAATCTGTTGATCATGGAGTTACACAAAGACATTATGATAAACCCTCAACCATATCGAGGGAGGCACCAAGGACGACATCCGCGATAGCAGCGATATGGCACCTATCCAGGTGTTTCGAAGCAGAATGTGAAAGGCATGGTGCTTCTCTTGATTACACCACCACTACTTCATAGGCACTTTTCTCCGACCATGGGGATGCCCTGTGCGCCAAAAAACAAACCGGCGCGGGCCGTTGATGAAATTCATCAATGGCTGCAAAGGCCCCAAAAGTTGCGGTGCGTATACGACCGTGACCCATGACCGATATATGGGCCAAGTACTGGTGGGTTTGTGCAGCAAATATGCACATGATGCCTCAGAAATGCACAACTTTGCCCATGATAGTGGCCATGGGGTGGGCCGCTAGCGTTAGCTGCTGGCGCTGGGCGACTTTTTGCAACATGTAATGTTGAGTGCACTGAGTTTGGGCGTTTATTGCGCTGAAAAGTTTTGACAAAGAAATCTGAAAAATATGAGAGACGTAGATTGAATGCTGATCTTTTGGAGAGGAGTTTCTAAATCACCAGTGCCCACTGCAGGCAAATCGAGCACCTGTAACGTATATTGAACGATATTCACGAAAGTTTCAGGGGTTCGGAGCTACCTGACCACAATGGCTCGCTCCACCATCCTAAAAGATGAGAAAGGCTGCTCGCACCGGTTCCTTTTTTATTTTTGGCACGTAGCGCGTGGGATGCTCCTCAAAAACAGCCTTGGACATAGTAGTGGATTTAGAATAAAACAATATTTATGGGTGGCAAGCTAGGCTACCAGAGTGGCCCAGGTCCACTTCCCGGCCGGGCCAAAAAGAAATAAAATAAATTTAATTTAATAAAATAAAAGTTTTTTTAATTAAAATTTTTATTTTAAATTTGGTAAAGAATTTCGACGTGACCCTGAGGCAAAAGTTGTTCAGTTTATTGTTCGGATTTTTTTTTTTTTTTTTTTTTTTTTGCCTGGGGCCTTCCTTGGTCCTTGCACGGACTGCCCGGGAAAATAGGGCGACCCGGGCGGCCCGGCTGGTAGCCCAGGTGGCAAGGATAAATCTGGCGGCAAAACAACGTATTATTTTGCTCCCTGCTGCTACGGGCAGGCCCACATCTTCTGGGCTCAGAAACAAAAAAAGTGTCGGTTCTTCAAAATAGTGTCGGAGACGGTGGTGGTGTTCCGAACATGACTTGGTAGGCACCGTGGTAGGTGTTTGTCCCATGGAACTGGTATCAACTTCAATGGGCACTGTAGTAGACGCGATGGGCACCATGGTATGTGTTGGTCTCATGCAACTGTTTGGAATTGCTCCAACAATGCTTAGTATATGGACACCACGGCAATGTAGGATGGGGCAGTGATAGATAGCTATGCTCTCTGACAGATGTAGCATCGTGGGGCATGATTGCTGGTCGTGATCGACAAGCGGAATACTCGTACATGTGCCGAAGTTCTATGCTGTTAGGGCACACAGTAGCATCTACTCATTGTAGTTGCACACAGTAGGTAGATTGGTTTAAGAGAGGACTGAATTGTTTGGTGAGTTCGGCAGGAAACGTGAACGTTGCCGAAGTTCTATGCGGCTAGTGCGTATATTCATAGCACTTTTTCTATTGGGTTCTGGACGTAATTGCGGTGAGATATATCCGTCAAAAGCTGGGATTGCAGTCCAGGAAAGTCCCAGTGTAAGTATGCTCTCAAAGAAGGCAAAATATCAAAAGGTAACGCCGGGACTCATAGATTACGAGCAAGCGATTCGGTTGCAGGCGTGCTGCTGTTACTGTCACTTCCGCAGCCACTGGCCTCAGCCCTTCGGCAAAGGAGATAGATGGGGGCCTCAGTGCTACGCAGCACCCCCGGATATCTGGCAAGCCCTGGTTAATCCGGTTTACCCGGCGGGGTGAACAGGGCCGGATTAAACTGGATTAAAAAAAATCCGGGCCTGCACGAAATATGTGCAGGCTTCTTTTTGGAAATCATGGTCCAGTAGGGGGTTTTGATTGACCGCGCGACCCCGTTCTCGCAACCCGAAATGGAGTAGGCCCTAC